AGGAGAGAGCCCACAGGATGTCTCCAAACCCGACCTTCATCCGAAAAAAGTTATGCTCTCTGTGTGGTGGGGAGTGGACGGCCCCATCTACTGGGAACTTCTGCCCGAGGGCAAAACAATAACTGGAGACCTCTACACTACTCAACTACGAAACCTCAAGAAAGCAGTCGACCGTTCGGCCCTGAAAGACAAGAAAGTGTACTATCAACATGATAACGCTCGCCCACATGTTTCGAAACAAGTGAAGCAGGAGCTGATGGGATATGGATGGAATGTTCTCCCTCACCCCCCGTATTCTCCTGATCTTGCTCCTTCCGACTATTGGTTATTTGGCGATATGACACGTGCCTTCGAAGGAAGAAGCTTCAATTCCCGTGGAGCGGTCGAAGCGGCACTCAAACAATACTTTGCCTCACGCCCGGCTGGATTCTACCGCAATGGAATCCATAAATTGAGGGAACGTTGGAGACATGTTGTTGATAATGATGGACAATATAATTAATTATTCGGTTATTTTTTCTTTGAGAAATAAACTATTGAAAAAGTGACAAAGACTTTCCCGCCAACCTAATAATGAACAATTTGTCAGTTGACAAATTTTTTATATCTTTGACATTAACCGAGATAAATTAGCACAAAGTTTAAGACTAAAAGGGGGGGGGGGCGGAGGCTCTTCAATTACAGGTTTTATGCTGGTTTTTTGACAACTCATCAATTTTGAAAATTGACGTAGAACCTTCTAGAATTCTAAAAACACTTTTATATTTTCAGACCCAAATATTTACTCTCTTGTCACTCCGAGATTTGTTCTCTGGTCACTGAGATCTTTGAATTTCCTGCTGAAATATTAATGAGAGACCTCAAAGTTGTCTTCTGCAATTTATATACCAACCGTTTTTTTTTCGATGAATTTTAAATTTGATCAAGAAACACGGAACTCACTTTTAGTTCCTTTAACCCAATTTATTTCTAATTGCTTTTCTTATTAAGCTGTTTTTCTATTTATTCCCTAATGATTAGCAATGTGACGTGTGGGGATAAAATGAGAAGATGTACTAACTTTCTTTCTTTGTTTTCGTTGTCGCTTTAATTTTCTCTCCTTCTTCTTCTGTTTTCTCTTTCGAACTCTCCGCCCACAAATTGCATTTATTTGATGGGCAGACCCGAGGCGCATCGCCTCGTTTCCCGTCGGCTAAGAAAAAAGGAATAAAAAAGCTTGCGGATTTGAAATGAGATGTTTTATGTAGTTGGTCGTGTGGTACTACGAAATAACGAACACCAAAAAATGTGAACCTAAAGAAAAGAAAAACTGGCTTCATTCCTGAAATTTTTTAATCTTACCTAGCAACATTGTTTAATCGTCGGAAATTTTCAAACAATCATCTTTAAGCGGAGTTCCCTCATTTTCTGAAAAAGATACCAAAAAGTGGTCAACTAACAAAATGTTTATCATAAAATCTAAAGTATTTTCTCAGTTGATTTTTGATATCTTTCACAGGAACCGAGATTAATTAGCTCAAAATTTGACGGTTCATTCTATTAGAGTATTTACGGTAACCTTCTTTTTTATCAGTTCATTCTCCAAACCAGTGGAATACTGTAGCTCTCCACTTTCTTAAATGTTATTGCAGCAGCCAAGTTGTCTGAAAATTAGATCTCTGACTTTGTTAAGATAAACATCCCATGATGCCGTTCGATTCTTCATTTTTATATGCTGGAACCTAATTTTACAATTTTTTGATTTTTTTGCTGGTTACCTGAATAACCCGATCTATATTGTCACGGTGAACCAAGTGTCATTTTTTTCGTGAACCTTTTTTTCCAACAACCAAATCGGTGTGACCCCCGTGAAACCCTAACGAAATGAGAACAATGTCCAGGATTCAGAAAGTTGAGAGAAAAATCAGAATTAGTTTCCAACGTTAAAGTTGCAGGATCTTGCAGGATCTTCTTGGCTTCCATGATGTCCCCCTCCCCCTCCCACAACTTCCACAACTCCTAGGACGGTTTCGAAGGCAGTTTCCAGGATTGTCACGATTCGAATCAAGATGGGAGAAAAGGCAGAGTAAGATGAAAGGTGGGAAAATAGGAATGGGTAAAGTTTCAAAACTTTAAAGTTGCAGGGAACACTTGGACTCCGGGACCAACTTAGAGAAGTACGGGGACATTTCGCAGAGCTGAGATTGGCACGATTCGAATCAGGACCACATATGCAGCGAAGAAAAAACAAAAGTAAAGGTGAGGAAATGCGATTTTTTTGAGTTTTGAAATTTTCCCAGAATTCGGAAGACTAAAGGAAAATCGTTATTAAGCTTAAGGTGTTTAAGTTGCAGAAAATGGTTGGTTTCCGGAATGCACCACCTTCCAGGACTTTGAGGACATTATCAGGATTGGCAGGACTCACATCAAGATGACAGAAGTATTGGGAACAAAATGAAAAGTGAGGAAATGGGATTTTTATTCAAAATTACAGTTGATTGGGGAAATGAGAATTTTCAAAAGTAAACTTTTCAAAAATTGTATTTTCCGTACCTCTGAATTGAAATTTTTCATTTCAATTAACCAAAGCTGAAAAGCATTTAGAGACAACATTTCATTTCAGAAGTAAAAAAATACAACTTGCTAGAAAATGTTGTACCCCCGAAACATGGATATTGGCTTGGAATGACCTAGAAGGGGAAAAATTGAGGGAAAAAGCGATTCCTGGACTCTCGAATCCGTTACTAGGTCGGTTCACGAACAAATGAATTCCTTTTGAGATTTTTGAATTTTAGTTTTTTATTAACGCACGAGGAAAGCGGTCCCTGGATCCATGAATCCCTGGGTCTCTGGATCCTGGTCTCTGGAAATTTCCAAAAATTACTACAGGGTGTGGCAAAAGCCTGGTAACCAAAGTTTGACGCAAGCTGGCGCGCGCTGACGCACTTTTCGTGTATTGATTTTATGCTCATGTTGTTCCCCGTCTCTTCATTAGTAAATGGGCAAAGTTTCATGTTCCTATCTCAATTTTTACGAAGATCGCACTACTTTCTGTACGCCTTCTTCAGTTTTTCCTGTTTTTATTCCGGATCCTTGTGAGCAAGGTCAGTGGGCCAGGAATATTACTTCTAAGTCATGATGTCTAAGTCATCGTGTTATCAAGCTCGCAAAATTGAACTACCCAAGAAGATGTATAACCGTGTTCAGCAAAAAGTGCAAAACCAAATCTTCCAACTTCATCCCCGAAAAGAATGGCCTGTCTCGAGTCAGACGACAATCCGATTGGAATTTCGGTGCTTGAAACTTTTAGAACCTATGTTCAAATTTATTTTTACATGTTTTTGGGTGCTCTCAAAAATTCTTTTACCACGGAACGAGACAGTTTGCCCACAGACCACCCCGTGCCGCGCCAAAGACGCTACCCAAAGATGTTGAGCCCCGCGATCTGAAACAGAGCTACCAGAAACAAAAAACTATAATTTAATTTAGTTACAAATCTCTTTGATAAAATCCTGTCAAAATTTGACCCGGATTGAATTATTTTCCGAAAAGTTATGATTTCTTCTTTTGGTTACCAGACTTTTGCCCCACCCTGTACAATTTCGAAAAATGAGTATTAATAGAATGGTAGAGAAAATTAAAAAAATTGTCATAAATATGTTTGATTTCAGGATCCGAATGTCACTGGAGAGGAGATATCGAGTCGCCGTCGTGATGTCAGAACTCTGTGTGAACTTTATTTTTTGTGATTTCTTTCTTCTTAGCTTCTTTTGCGCGCTTTTCATCCTTCGCCTATGATTCTCCGGGATGTCGTCGGGTTGTTGGAAGCAGGGCACGGACAGTGCGTTATCCGTTCTCTGGCCATTTTTGTCTGTCCGTTATCCGTATCTGTTGTCTATCGAAAAATTTTTCAGTCCGGTTTCAATCACTATCGTTAAGTCGCAGCCGTTGTTTGTAGTAGGTTTTCCGGTGTCCGGTGTAGTCGTAGTCTTTGTTCTTCCACTTTTTGTGTCGGTTCTTCTGGTGGTGTCCTTTGTTGTTCGATAATTTTAAACAGTTTGGGAAACGTATTTTGAGAGTTTGTGGTATCTTGGATGAAATTTAACAGATCTAAAAATGTTTCAATAAACTTTAAAACTTTCAATAAATGATGTATCCTGGAAATTTTTTCTAAAGTTAACTGCGGTGTTTTTCTGAACTGTTCAAAGTTAGAATCATTGATTGTGATTGCAACAGGCAAATCAAGTTTTCTTCCATTATAAATTCAGCGTATTTGATTTCCACTACAGTAACCTGGAGATTTGTTTGCAAAAGAATATTATTCATTCTGCTATTCATCTAAAACTTGCTCTGAAACAACGCTTCAAAAACTCCCATCGTTTATTCGTGTGCTTTTTTTCGTTGTACGGTTTCTTGAACAAAAATCACAGGGTACAGTAGTCGAGTCCGAACCTATTGAATAAACTTTAAAATTAGCTTTCGAGTTTGAGAATATAGGAATTTCGAAATTTTTTGAGGTTTTCGAATCTCGGAATTTAGGGTTCTATTTCATTTATGTCCTGAGAGCATTAAGTTATATTATTTATTAAAATAAAATTTAAAGTGAACGCCTGAACGATATAATTTTAATTTTGTCTGCAGATCTGACAAAAAGAAGAAGCATTCCCTTTGAAATAGACATCTAGTGAATAAATATATGGGAAAAAAGTCAAAAATAAATTAAGAAACATGTCGGGGGTTTGGAGAGGAGTATATATTTATAAATTAGTTTCATTGCCTTGGCACTGAAATCGACTACTCATATCTACACATTATTAAAATTGAAAAAAAAAAACAGACGGAAGGAAGAAACATATAAGTTTTTGATGTACTGTCAGCGACTAGATCTCATAGACATCGGGAAAAATGGGAATGCGTTTAGAAGTTTGAGAAGCAATATATAACATTTTATGAAAAAGTGAAAAATTTTGGGAGGAGATAAGGCAGGTAATTCGAATAAGGATGGTAAATGAAGCGAGGAATTATTTCTTCTCGTCCTTCTTATCACCTTCTTCCTCGACTGGTCCGAGAGTGTGCCATTGGGCAATTGGACGACGTGGAGAGGCCAGCATGTCCATCCAGTGCCTGAAAATTTTAAAATTAACTGAACATCTAGAAAATTAATTACCGTATTTCCTCTAATAGAATCTTAACCGTCAACTTTGAGCTCAATTATCTCAGTTTCTATAAGAGATAACAAAAATTTGTCAACATGATAAAATATTGGTGAAATTATGATGAATAACTTGTCAGTTAACGATTTTTTTATGTCTTTCGCAGAAATCGAGAAAATTGAGCTCAAAATTGACGATTTGATTGGGCTGATATTAGAGGAAATACGGTAACTTTAGAATTAACATGACAAAATTCTTCATTCAGATCAATCAATCTTCAAAGTTTCGTTTTCTATTTTAGAATCTTGGATATTTGGAATTTCAGAATCATTCCCAATTGAATAAATTACAGGACTCTTTGGAAGTGGAAATACGACTTCTCCTAATTTTTAAAATTTCAAGAGTCGGTTCTGGATTCTTCTGGATCTTCCTAGATTCTTCTGGATTTTTTTTTGTATAACCTGCGTTAGAAGGGCCTCTTTGATAGAATCGCCCCTCTAATAGGAGGGCCTCCTTCAAAATATTTTTTTAAAATAAAATTTTCCGTATTTTTCAATGAAAAATATTTTTGAAATTGCAAAATTACACAGAAATTTTGGAAACACTCTTTTGAGCTCAAAAACTCGCTCGTTGCAAGAAAAATTTCGGAAAAATGATATGAAAAATAGAAGGGCCCCTGTAATAGAAAAGCCTTCCTTTGGAACAATAGAAGAGCCGGTTCTTCTAAGCAGATTTTACGGTATGTCTTGATCCTTCTGAATAGGTTTAAACATTCCTGGATCCTTTTGGATCCTTCTAGACCCTTCTAGACATCTCTAGACACAAATACCAACCTGAGCTCGGCACCAGTTCCGTTACATCCAAGAAGACACCGTCCAATAGCGTCGTTTGATCCGAGTTTATCATAATCCATCACAGTAATCATAAGGGACACTTTCTGAAACAAACACACCATTTTTGGCCCGCCCATAATCAGTTAAAAATCATCGGAAACGTTAGCTAGACATGTTAGAAAAAAGCGTTATCCACCTGAATTTGTTCGAAAGGCACTTCGAAGCTGAACGACTCGTTATAGTAGGGATTAAGAGTGCACTTCTTGATCGACGTCTTCTTCTTTTTCAATCGTTTTCCGCCTTGCATTAACACGATTTTCACATATGGATCTGAAAGAAACCCCAAGAAAATGTTAGATAATCAGTTAGATGGTTGAAAAGCCGAAAGAAGAGGGAGAGTGTCAGTTTTCTCGGTTAAAAAAGCCATTCTTGAATTTCTGCTTCACCGAAATGTCACCTTCATCTTGTGCAGTGGCAGCTTGTCAAACACAAAACTCTCATTGTAATAGGGATTTAATGTGTTTCTTTTGATACTCGTTTTTTTCTTCTTCAGCCTCTTCTTCTTATCCTCACCGAACATTTCCAACTTCACATATGGATCTTATAATTTCAAAATATTCAACTTTCAGATTTTTTTCTGGTTTTTCCGTTAGAAATAAAAACTCTAAGCTCTGAAAAGTTACCTGAAAGACCACCGACGTCCATTTTCTTGAGATTTTTGGCTTCAAGAACGACGACAGTCAGCTTTCCAGCAGTTGGAACGTATCGGAGAGAGAAGCAGATGTCTCCGAGACTCTTCTCCTGAAATGTTTATCATTTTTGTGTTTTTATAAGAATCCTTACGGCTTCTTTGTCATCTGGAGGTGGTGCGATATCCTTCCACTCTTCAATAACCTGACCCAAATCGATCTTTCCCAGTGGAATCAGAACTTGTCCGATTTGATCGTGCTTACTGAATCTGTCGAAATCGTAAATGGCAAATACGAGGGTTTTGGCAGTGATTTCATTGAATGCTACCTGAAAAAACGTATTATTTAAAATATTCAGAGCTACTTGCACTTTAATCTTAATCATCTCAATTTCTATTTAAAAAATGTGTCAGCTGAAAAATGATTGTCATAATATAACCAACATTTTATCAGTAGACAGATTTTTGGTATCTCTTACAGGAACCAAGATAATTTTTTTAGCCAAACAAAATCTTACTTTGAAGATGAAAGTCTCGTTGAAGACTGGATTCAAAGTCTTGCGATGCACTTTCGTTTCGACTTTCTTCTTCTTTTCTGGCAAGAGATAAAGTTTGACATATGGATCGGAAGTTCCTGACATGTCCATTCCTGGCAAGTCTTCGGCTTGAATCACAGTTACGGTGAGTTGTCCTTGTTGGAAATCATAGTCAAGTTTGTATTGTATCCTTCCTAGTTTGACTTCTTCTTTCTCCTCGGCTTGAGCCTTCTCGTTCTGTTCCATTGCGTCTCCGAGCTCTTCCAAGTCTTGAGCCATCTGAAATTTGTTGAATGTGCTATGTTTAGAATTTTCAAGCCATCTTAATAGAACGTTTAATACCATTTCTCCAATAGCTTTTTTTCGTGGAATAATTTATGAATCATACTTGGAAACGGATCAAAAACGGACTCTGTCGGACTCTGTCGTAGCTTCTTTTAGGAACAATGTTTTTTGATCAACTGAATTCAATGTCATAGTATTCAATGAGTACTACAAAATGATATTATTTAAAAAACTGTATCTTGACTATGAACTAAGTTACAAGCCATGAAACTGCCAATCGCAGCAAGATTGGACGTTTGAATTTCCTGGCCGAATGAAAACCTCACTTTCAAACCATCTTATTGAAACGTTTGAAACCATCTCTCTAATACTGTAAAACCTTTTATAGAAGAGCATCCACACTGCCAAATCTGAGCTCCATTATATCCATTCCTATGCTATATGTCATCTGATAAAATGTTTTTGATATTCCGATAAACAATTTGTCAGTTAACCACTTTTTGATATTATTTCTGTCTATTTTCAGTGCACGTTGCGGTTGCGAAAAAACAACAGTGGGCGGAGCTTCGCTCCCGCAGGGAAAACACTACGGTATTTTTCAGATTAATACATGCGCCTTTAAACCGTATCTCAAAGTTTATTCAATTTTTGGCTTTTTCTCTTACTTTTTCGCTTGTTTTTGTCTAATTTCGTCTAATTTTCATAAATCTTTAATTTATTCCCGTTATATAATAGAAAAACAGCCAAATATGGGCCCAAAATAAATTTAAAAAGTCCGAGGTACGGTTTGAAGACGCATGCATTAATTTGTTGTTTTCGCTGCTCTACCGACGTGGCGATTTTGAGTAAATTTTCGTGCATTGAAAATAGACAGCAGTAATATCTTCTATGCGAACCGAGATAAATTGATTCAAAGTTAGGAGGTCGGCACCCGACAGCGTAGCTCAACCGGTAAGTATATATCTCAATTCCTGTGAATGATATGAAAAATATGTCAACTAACAAAAAATGTTTGAAATTTTGATAAGCAATTTATCAGTTGACAACTTTTTCATATCTTTAACAGGAACCGAGAAAAACTGGCTCAAAGTTAAATGTTCTGGCTCTTCTGGTTTTACGGTTGTAACTTTTTTACGGAATAATTCATGGTTTTTCATCTAAATTCTATTACAAATTCTGACATCTTCATCGTCTTCTTCTTCAAAGATTTCACTTCTCTGGCCTTGGGAGCCCTGAACTTTCCCCTTTTTGATATCCCTGGAGGCCCCTAAAAAACATACCCCTTGAATATTTTTACCATCCACAACATCTTGTCCTTTTCCAAAGAATCCCTTCAATCCACCCTTTTTGTTCTTCTCTCCGTGTCGTTTCTTTCCGAATAACTTGCGAATGATGAAGAAGGCGCACGCGAGCACGAAGAAGATGAATACGATTCCGAGGAAGACGAACGCCCATTCAGGCACTGCAATTTGAAAGGATATTGGTCATTTATCTTCTTTTTTAGACTACTTTTCTCTCTCTCTCTCTCTCTCTCTCTCTCTCTCTCTCTCGTTTTGGTTAATGAACAGATGAACCTTGTAGCCCCTATATTTTTTATATATACCCAGAAAAATATCCCTCCCTTATTTTTTTTCTTCTTCTTCTTTTAATTATTTTCGTCCACACCACACCGAATGTTTGTTGTCCATTCGAGAGCAGTCAACTCATAAACGAACTACTTTTCCCCCATTCGTTTTGGTGTGTCCGGTGATAAATGTGTTATTGTTCTTCTTCTTTAATTTTTCTTTCGCCCCGTCCCAAGAGACATTCACCCCACTTTTTTTGGCACATGCTCTTCTTCTTCTTCTTTTTTGGTCCCTCCTTCAGGATGGGGTAGAAGCATACACGTCAATGCTGAATACTACTTTCTCTCCTCTTTTTTGTATACTCGAGAGTAAAAAAAATCTAAAATATTCAATGCTTTAGGAGGAGAAGAATAGGGGGATGTGTCTCCGTCGGTTGCCCCACCAGAAAATATCAAATTACAATCGACAGCCTAGGAGCTGTGAAGCCTAGAAGCTGTGAAAACGAGGAGCCTGGAAGGAGGCATGGGGGCGATTTGGAAGTTCAAAAATTGAAAAAGAATGGAGTATGAAAATATTGGAAAAGCTCAAAAAACTATTGGGGAATGTCTATTTAAAGGTTTTGAGCCGATACCTGTAACAGAAGGGCTGTCACGTTTGAGCTCAATTATCTCAGTTCCTAAGCAAGATATCAAAAATGTGTCAACTGACAAAACATTTCTGATATTATGATAAATAATTTATCAGTTGACCACTTTTTGATATCTTTGACAGGAGCTGAGATATATTGGCTCAAAGTTAAAAGTTAGGGAGCCCTTCTATTATAAGGGTCACGGTAGATCCCACTTGGGCAACTTGCCAAAACTTTGCATTTTGAAGATATTGTATCCACAAGTTATCTGAACATTGCCAACATGTCGTGGACCACGACGGTGCATACTGCTAATCTTTGATTAATCCTGCTTTTGTATTATTCACAAATAAAACAAGGAACAGTTACTTTCCTGCCAACCTAATATGTGAATGCAAAGTTTTCAATCTAGGTCAGTTTTATAACCTCCAAGATTTTCAGAGTGATCGGAAATCTGAAAGCCGAGCTCCAGACTCCGGAAAATGGTTAAAAATCAGCGGAAAGATAGGTCAATATACCGTGCGTCTGGGATTTAACTCTTGCTGAAACCCCCTTGAGAAGTTTTAAATATTAGCGGGGAATTTAAAGTCAGCTTCGTGAGCCATATATGTTTTTAGGGGCTTCAGTTTTTAATGATTTCCAGCTAAAAAAATGAAAAAAAACTCACTTCCAGTTTGCTGCATGACTTTCTCCTTTACAACGTCCTTTACATCTATAACTTTGTTCACAACCGCGTCCTTATACGTCTCTTTTGTCGTTGTTGCTCTGGAAATCGGGAGAAGAGGGTTGGTGACAGAAACATAAATCAATCGAAAAAAGGACACTTTTTCGTTTTCGTCGTCGTTTCACTTTTGCCTTGACATCACATAACATGTTTATGAGCGCTCACAGAAAGAGATATTTTTATGGTTCTCCATTTCTCTTTTCTCCGCTCTGTGCTTTTATGGATTTTTTTGGTTTCTCCGTTTTTCTTTTGTTTTCTGACAGATTGGAAAAAATTAAAAAATTTGATTTACGGCAAAGAATGTTTGGACTGAAATTGGGAATAAACTGTAAATACGCCCCCCCCCCCCGCTCCTCTAAAAGCATGCCACTCTATACTTACACTTTGAGCTCAATTATCTCAATTTCTGAAAAAGATATCAAAAATGTGCCAACTTATAAAATGTTGGTGATGTTATGACACACATTTTATTAGTTTACAGATTTTTATGTCTTCTGCAGGAACCGAAATAATTGAGCTCAAAGTGAGAGTAGAGGGTGACTTTTTTTCTGGTTTCGGACTGGAAATAGGCCTGAAAATCTCATTTGCAACAGGAATCAGAAACGTATGGAGTGTGTTTCAGAGAAAAGGAAAAATACATGCCAAAGTTTGTACTAGCATAAAATCCTAGTGAAGCCTTGTACTGGACTAAAATTTGAACCACAAAAAGTCGTCAATAAACTGGCCAAATTTCAAGTCATTTGATGAACTTTGAGCTGAGTCAGCGCTTGCCAAAATTGCTTCATCTCTTGAGAAGCACAGGAAAAATTATGCCATCAATCTTTGGACAATCATAAAAATACCTAGACTTGAGGAATCGATTTGATGATTGCAGCAGCTCTGAATCAAACGTAAAATTGTATTTCTACCACTTTTCGTGCTTCTAAGGTACTTATGTCCAAAGATATACCCCCTTTTTTTAGTCCGGAGGGGGGGGGGGGGGCAATTATGCGCCACACTGTAATTCTAGACGCAATTCTAGACGCTCAATTTTTTAAAAATCTGACAGTAATGAGGATTATAGGTTTTAGGATCGAAAGTGTTCGAAATTGTCGAAAAAGAGAGACGGCATCAAGGAGTATCGTGAATCAACCTAATCTATGGAGGCATACCTTCCTGATTCACATGTATAATCTCTTTGTTTTTCGACTTTAAAATTCTCCTTTTTTCCTTTTTTTGGTAGATTAGAAAACTCTTCTTTTTCCTAAACTTACACTTGCTTCACTGCTTGTGTCGTTGCTTCTTCTTCCATCGGTGTCTCATCCATCACGAATTCCTTGGTTAAATCCTTGTCCTCCTCCTCATCGCCACCCGACGAGAAGTCTAACTTCACCATGGTGACCTGAAATTTGATAATATATGAGAATAGAAAAAGGAGAAACAACGTTCGGTTATCCTGGGTTAAGCTAAAAAACGGGGCGGAGCCTAGAGAAAATGGGAAAAATGGGAATGTGTTTACAGAAGCGAAATAATTAGAATTTTCAGATAAAATTTTCATAATCTAAACTTCTAGGCGGGTTTTGTTTACTTTTCCAGAAAAAATATAGATTCTGAAACAAGACTGAGAAACAAGGGATGGGAAAATAGAGAAATGAGGTGGGTGGTGGATGGGAATCTTGAAAAAGAAGAGGAAAAATAGATGATTATGTATGACATGCTTAAATTATGACATCGGGATTTGTTTTTTCTCCCTCTCTTTTTTCATAATCCCATTATCTAAGGACGGCTCTTGATCATCATAACGTCACTGAAAAAAACAAAAGGTAAAGAAGTGAGATTTTTCTCAAAAAACTCCAAAAAATTGATATCCCATGGGTCATCGCTGGAGAGCACAATGCACGTCTTCTTTCTTTTTTATAAGATTCTGAGATTCTAAGATTCTCTCTCTCTCTCTCTCCCTCTCTCTCTCTCTCTCTCTCTCTCTCTCTCTCTCTCTCTCTCTCTCTCTCTCTCTCTCTCTTCCCAACAACACCGGTTGATGTCTATTGAAAGAGAGAGAGAGAGAGAAACTAGAAGTTTAGATTATGAAAATTTTAGTTTTTGTTTATCTTTTCAGAATTCGAATTTGAATTGAAGCTCTTTTTTATTGGCTTCTTTCCGTATTTTTCGTTTTCTGTTTTTTTTTTCATCCGCCGAACGATGACAAAAAACAGCTAGCCAATTGAAAAGCAACGAAAAAATAAAAATGAAGAAGACGTCGGAGCAAAGCATTGAATGATAATACGACTAGAGCAAGGAGGTGCCCAAAAAAGTTGATTGATTTTTTTCTTTTTTTTTTCGACGACGTCTTCTTCGGAAGTCGTTGAAGAAGACAAAAAAGGTGAAGAAGTGTGGGATGGAAACATGCAAATGCTCCGGAGGAGAAAGTGGAGGAGGTAGAGTCCCATGGCATTGAATAATGATTCTGCAGAATTCGATTTCTGGAGAGCCAGAGTGGGCATGGGAATATAATTTATTTTTAATTCAGGTGGGAGGGGGAAAATGGAAACTGAATTGTAGTAGCTCAGAATGGATTCTGATCGGTCTCAGGAGATTGGTAAATTAATTTCGAATTCGGAATTTTCGGAGAGTAAGTACTTGCGTAGATACCGTAAAACCTGTATTAGAAGGACCCCTCTAATAGAAGGGCACTCCGGAGGTACCTTGGAACAATAGAAAGACCATCCCTTCTAATAGAGTTTTTAAAGTAGGCTTGTTCACTGAATATCACTGTGGAAAATGCTACTGTTCATATACCGTACAACCTGTAATAGTAGGACCCCCACACGGTCAAATTTGAGCCCATTTATCGCAATTTCTAAGCAAGATATCGAAAATGTATCAACTGATAAAATGTTTGTGATATTGTGATGAACAATTTATCACTGAGCAATTTTTGATATCTTTAACAGTAACTGAGATAAATTGACTAAAAGACAGGTTTTACGGTACCCTGGAATGTCTAATTCTAAAAATGAGAAAAACTATTTTGAAAAACGCAGAAGGCAGTGATATCATTTTTCGACATTTAAAGGCTCATTGAAATTTGGTTCATTCTGAACTTTTAAAAATCAAAACTTTAATTTAGCAACTATCCCAATAGAGAGCCATTAAGCCAAACTGGCAGGAAACACCCTAATAGAAAGCCACTTTATGCTTGCACTTCGAGCCAATTTATCTCGATTCCTGTAACAGACATCAAAAATTGATCAACTGACAAAATATTTCTGATATTATGATAAACGTTTTGTCAGTTGACCATTTTTTGATATCTTTTATAGGAACCGAGATAAATTGGCTCAAAGTTACGGTAACTATTCTAACGACACAGAATTCGGTACTGAATTTCTAAACTTCAAAAATCCAAAACAACTAGAATTCTACGAGAAAACAGCTACATCTTCCCACGCACTGTGTTTCAGTATCTCTCAAGAGACACAGCTCATGTAATTTTAATTTAGGTGAAAGGTCAGTTTCGAGGGAATAGGAGGGTCCTCTCTTTTCAAGCCATTAGATAAATTTCAATTCGTTTTTGGGGGACAATGACACCAAAGTAACAATGAGGGAAATAAGAAGTTTGGTCATAATTATGGGAAGATTCAGAAGGAAAAATGGATGATAGATTCCTGAACATCTTAGGTTTGAAAAAAGGAATTCCCAAGGAAAAAAAGACAAAAAAGTGCCTGCACTAGCAGCAGCACCTATTCAATATTTTATAGTCCTCTAAGCAGTTTGGACCCGTAGAAGAAGCACGGCCACGAAACAGAAGAAAAGAAGACGAAGTAAACGTTTTAGTGAAAAGCCTGGGGAGCTGGTTGGCGGCGTCGTCGGCGGGAGAAAGAGAAAGAGAGAAGAAGTGAGTGTGTGCTCCGCGCCCCGAGAGCCCCCAACCGCTACTTCTTCTTCTTCTTTCTTCTTCAACTGGCTTTTCTCGCCATACACTCTTTCTCGCAAAAACCAGCAAAAAGAGAGGAAAGAAAAAAGAAAAAAGATGTAGAAGAAGAAGAAGAAGAAAACGAGTGGGGGAAAGAAGGGGGACGCGCGGAGCCTTCCATATTGAGGGATCGATACGAAAAACGAAGGGAGTAGATGCACACGATGAAGGCACGTCTTCTGGAGGAATGGAGCAAAAACGAGAAGACGATTTAACGGGGCCGACGCTCGCCGCGATTAGCGACTCACTGACGTGATGCGATAAATGCATAGTATTTGAAGAAAGAAGGAAGAAGACGAAGAAGACGATTGGAGAAGGAGAACGAAATGGAGATGTGAAATATGTACTAGTTTATGGAAGGTGAAGAAACACAAGGATTGATGTTGAAATTTTCGGAACATTTCTGCTCGGGAAATTCTCGGCAAGATGACATGAGAGGGTTGTTCCTTAAAGGAGGAGTGACAGGAGATTTTTTAAAAGTTTTTTTTTGAAGTTATGGTATGTATTCAGACGTGACGATGTACAGTGTTTAGCGTTCACACGCTATCGTTCCGCTTTTATCGACCACATCGTTCTACCGTCTCAGATCGCGCCACCGTAGCTCAGCCGGAGCGGCGCGGCACCTCCAATGATGGATTCACAAGTTCAACTTGCTTTCGAAACAACGGCTTCATCAAATCAAAATTCTTGCACGGACTGACCAAAAAGAATAGGAACCCCAGAATGAATAGTTTATTTATCAATTATGTCCAACCCTTTCCGGTACTTATCGTTTTTCTGATTTCAAATTTTTCAATCAAGCGTAAAGGCAGAAAGCAAAAGCTTAAACATTTTAAAACAGGCATCCATTTCGGTCGATCGAAAATCGGCGACCGCCGACCCAACCTACCGAAGTCGTTCAATTTTCAAAAAAGTTTGAAAGATTTGTCGTGCGTCGTAATATAAAATGTTGTGTACGCAAACACTGCTGGCACGAATTCGGGTCGGCGTCGGCTAAAATTCCCGGCCATTTTTGACCATTTCCAAAAGTCTGGAGGTCGTCTATCAAGTGCCCAATCACTTTCAAAATTTTGGAGG